GAGTGGGCTAGCTCCAGGCCTGTGGGGGATGAAGGGCCCTAGTCTCGGGGTTCCACCGCTCCCTGTCTGACCAGTCAGCCTGGTTTCTCACGCACCTGAGTGTGTCCCACGTTTTCCTCCCACTCTGCCCAGGTGCTTCTAATGGAGTCCTCTCAGAGCAGCTGGTGGTGGGCGCCGGCACCATCTAGTGCCTCTGGTCTCGGGGCCGTGGGTGCTGACGCTTGAGGGGTCCCTCCGCCTCCAGGACGCCTTGTGTCCGGGTGCTGTCTTTGACTTTTCTCCCTCTTCGTGGCTCTGACAGGGAACCCCCTGGCTGTGCAGGGATGGCTGCTCAGCAGGCAGCTCCGCTTTGCTTGCCCAGGTGCCCCTCCTGTCTTAGAGGGCAGGCCCCTTGGGGGCAAAGGCTGCACCTCAGTTGTCATGATCAAGCCACAGCCCTGGCTCTCCGTCACAGCTGAGGGGTGAGGGAGGGGCATTTTGGCCAGACACAGGGACGACCAGGGGCCCTCGGTCTTTGTGTGCCCCGCGCCCCCACCCCCATCCCCCCAGTCCTCGCTCCTGCGAGTGTGGGCTGCCACAACACCAAGGACCAGCTTAGCAACCTCCCGTGGAGAGACCAGCGCATGGGTGGAGACAGGACTTAGATCTGGGAGCCAGGACTTACCTTTGTTGTTGGCTGGGACGGGGACACCATCACACGCACACCTGAAGAGACATCTGGAAACTGGGCAGCCAAGGGCCTGAGTGAGGGGCTCTAGGGGCAAGTCCTGCCCTGTCACCTGCCTCCCCCCCCCCCGCATGGGGCTGCCCAGATCAGCCCCAAAGGATGCTCTGAGGCAGGGGCTCCTCCTCCAGGGCCCCATCTCCCACAGCCCACTCTCCCTGCCATGGGGGGCAGCTCTGGCTTGGTCCATGGGCCTCCCTCTCAGGAGTGTGTGACCACTGGAAGCAGTCTTCTCTGAGCCCTGGTTGAGCCCCTGCCTGGGCCTCTCTCTAAGGGCAGCTTCAGAGACACAGTGAGCTCCCCTGGGCCAGGCTGACCAGTGTCTGACTGGGATGACCAGAAGCCCCTGATGAGCCAGGAGGGGCAGGAAACCCTGTTCCCCACCCCCCAGCGCGCGCGTGCGCACACACACACACACACACACACACACACACACACGTGCCTGGTTGCCACGGAGACAGTGGTGCAAAGACATGAATTACGACAACAGTTGCAGAGTTTTCCTGCTGGTCTCTAGGATGGTGCTTTCTTGAGGACAAAGGGACAGCTCCCCACCCCCTCCCCCTGGGCCATGCACCGCTGTGCCAGGCACATCCCTGCTAGGCACCCTCTGCTGTGGGCATGTGTCCAACGTCCCCAACAGCGCTCAGCCCCCATACTGCCTGCAGGGGGTCCCCCCACCTGCTAACGCTCCCTGAGTCACTCGGAGCCGGAGGGGCCTGGCTGCCAAGGCCTTCAGATATGCCTGATATCATTCAGGCTGAGAAAATGGCCTCTTGCTCTGCGGGACGGGAAAGGGTTGGGGAGAGGGGGTGCAGGTGGCATAGGGGTGGGGAGCGCTCCCTGCTCGGGTCAGTAGTTTGGCAAACGCTAGCACAATGGGCATCTAAGGTGCAAGTAACTGTTGTGGAGCAAAGGGTGACGAAGATGAAATACACAGGAGACACGTAGCCAGATGGACTTGTGGACCGAATGGGCCCAGTCTCCAGGACCTGAGATCAGAGGCACTAGATGGTGCCCAGCCACCGCCAGCCAGCTGCTCTGAGAGGGAGCCCCTTATGAAGTCCTGGGTGGAAGGAAAAGGGGTGGGGGGGCGGCTTCGGGTCACAAGACAGGCCAGGCTTCCTGGTCAGACTGGCTTGGAGCCCCTGTGTCTGTGGCCCCTCATCACCACTCAGGTCTGGAAAGGAACTCACCCCCTGGCTCAATTTCAGCCACACAACAGGCAGGCCTATGGGGGGTTGCCAATCATACCTGGAAGGCACGCCCACCTGAGCCTAACCTGCCTTTGAGATCAGAGGAACCGCACTGAGCAGAGGGCAGAGTTCAGAGGATCGGGAAGGAGGGGGCGTGGGAACAGGTACACAGGGAGGAGGAAGTGGGGCACATCCGGGCTGGTGCCCTGAGCAGACAGGCATCCAGGACAGGAAGAAATGTGTCTGCATGATTTGCCTGGGGAGTCCTCTGCTCTACAACACCCCTCCCCTCCCCCTCCCCACTCTTAGAGCCCAGTGGCTCTCGGAGGCCTGGGGTAGGGCACAGGTGGGGGTGCCTTTCAGGACCCTGAGTGGATGCAGCCACACACCCTGTCCTCCCCGCCTGCAGGGGCAGCTCCAAGAGACAATGGCTTTGAAGGGACTTTGAACTGAGTCTTTTTTTTAAAGGATGCTCTAGAGCTGGGTTTCCAGCCAGGCTCCGTGGGGACATCGGTCATACTCTACTTGCTTCCGTTCCGGTGGTTGTGGGGTGCCCATCTCGCATCCCTGCCCCCACCAGTCTCATTTTGTTTCCAGGTCATCACTGGCCTCTGACTTCTGACCTGCAACGTGATTCAATCCGTGAGGGAGCTCCGTTTAGTTTGCAATGCAGGCTCTGCCCCTGGGGCCGAATCCGCCCTCTCATTACCATAACCTACTGCCCCCAAAGACTGCCCTGGTGGCGCCGTGGGTTACGCATCGGGCTGCTAGCAGCAAGATGGGCGATTCAAACCCACCAGCCACTCCGAGGGAGGAAAATGAGGCTGACTGCTCCCATAAAGTCTCAGAAATGCTGGAAGTCGCTATACGTCAGAATCGAGCCCATGGCTCCAAAAACCCACTGCCCTCGAGTCAGTGCCAACGTACCAACCTATGAGGCAGGGTAGAACTGCCCCTGTGGTTTCCCAGATGGCAACTCCTTACGGGAGTAGAAAGCCTGGTCTTTCTCCCGTGGAGCGGCTGATGATTTCAAACTGATCACCTTGTGGTTAGCGGCCCAGAGTGTAACCACTGCGCCTCCCTGAGCCATGGCAGGGCACTGCTCTTGCTTTCAAGCTCCCATTTAATCTTCCCAGTTGCTTCGGGCAGTCGGTCCTGTATAAATCGCTCTTCACCTAACAAGGCAGTCCTTTCCTATCTGCTAAGCTGGGTGCTGCGCCAGCAAAGGCCAGGGGCACAGATCTACCCGAGGCACCTCGGAAGAAAGGCCTGGTGACCGAATGCCCTCTGGCCACCATGAGTCCACAGCGAAGCTACAGCAACTGTCTGGTGGCTACAGACGCTGGGGGCCTCAGGCTAGGAGGAAAGGCAGGCTTTGCCCCAGAGTAGGTTCTTAACAAGAGTCTAGAAGGTTCCTAGCTGCTCAGGACACTGGTCGAGGGGTCCCTGCTCAGGAGATGGGGTGCAGAATGCACCTTCTGGAAGGTGGGCTCCTCAAGACTGACCCCTCAGGCACCCTGTGGAGCGGCAGCCCCACGCTGCCCACTGCGGGTTCTGGGTTTATGCAAATTAAGCCATGTCTGAGTCGGCTCTGCCTTGATGGTGGTGTTTCTGTGCTGTCTGATTAAACCAGAAGTTCGCAGACCTTTCCGTCTCAGGGGCTCCTGCCACACGAGTCTGACTTCTCTAGTCACCGGAAACAGCACAGGGTGGCTTCCACAGACAGAAAGACATTCTCTCAAAGCCTCGCAGGCCGGAGTCCAAACTGAGGGCACCAGACCCAGGGCAAGGCTTTTTCTCTGTCAGCTCTTGTGGTAGACCCTGGTGACCAACTTCTCTTGGGTCTAGGAGGGTCTCAGCATGGGACTCATGGGGGGAACACACGGTCCCCTCAGCTCTCACTGCCAGGAACCCGCTTGGTTAGCGGCTCAGGGGTTAGGACTGACCGCACAGGGGACAATGACATCAGATCACCACATGGAGGAGGGTACTATCCTGTGTTTCTGGGGCTCGATGCCATCTATAGCCACACTGTGAGCACCCCTGAGAGGGCCAGGCCCTGTCACTGCTGGGGGCTGCAGCTCTGGGTACATACTGCGCCAGCAAGCAGAACCAGAACTTTAAAGCATTTCTTCCACTTTCCAATCAGTCATAAACTATCGCATGTGAACATGATGCTTCAGGGGGGAAAAAAATTAATGGGTATTTTGTTTTTTTCCCGGCTTCCCTGCAGAGAACAACATTGTGTTGTATTTTTTTTTAACGTCTCTTTATTGTCTGGCTTAATAGAAGTCAGCGGGGCCCTAGTTTCTGTTCCCCGGCACACGCTGCTGCAGCTTGTCTCTGTGGTTGAAGGATATGGGGAAATATGGCCCCAGAGACACGACCAGAGTTAGAAACCCAGCAGTCGTAGTTCAATAGCCGTTTCAGGTCGCGGGGCTGCTCTCTGTAAATATTCCACCTCCACTCAAGTCACTGGGGGGTGGGGGGAGGAGTGCGCCGGGAAACACAGTTTTCACGAGACCCGGATTTCCCAAGGTTCCTTGCTCGCCGTGTTCCCAGGACTAGGCTCTGAGTGGACCTGCCCCACGGGGTGTCCAAGGGCGGGTCTTTTCCGGGAGCAAACTGCCAGGCCTTTCTTCCGCAGCACCGCTAGGGGCTTTGGACCACCACATGCTCAGTTCGCAGCTGAGCGCTTAAGCATTGCGACACCAGGGCGTGCAGCAAGTCGGGGGCCGAGGTTCCCCGAACGTTCCTCATCTCTGCAGCAAATGCTGGCGCCGCTGAGACGGGTCGCCCCTGTGATGCCCACCCGGCCTGCCTTCTGAGCCCCGAGGAGAAGGCTGGTGGAGGGCACCGCTCCCCGCTCGCTCGGGCTTGGCGCCCTGTCACCTCTTCTTCCTGGTTCTCACGGTCACTTCCTCCCTGGGGATGGGCGGGGTCCGGGCGCCCCCCAGGCTGAGCCCACGCTCCTGGCTGGCACAGGGGTGTCTGTCCTGCGCCAGCGCCCCGGGACAGGACAGGTCGGTCCCCGCAGGGCCACATTGCGCAGCGAAGGGTCAGGCGGAGGGAGGGCATCCTCAGACCGGGCTGCCGCGGCTCCCGCTGCTGGGGAGGGGGCCCGGCGGTGCGGCCGCCCGGCGGGGTCTGCCCCGGGGCCCCCGCGGGCCGCAGCGGCACAGCCGCCCGAAAGCCGCCCGGAACTTCCGCGACAGGAGGCTGTACACCACGGGGTTGATGGCGCTGTTGGCGTAGACGCAGGTGCGGCAGAAGAGCAGCAGCCAGGGGTCCAGCAGGGGCCGAGCCACGAGCGAGTTGACCAGCACGAGCGTGCGGTAGGGGGTCCACAGGACGGCAAAGAGCACCACCACCACCACCAGCATCCGGGTCACCTGCGGGGGGCGGGGCGGTGAGGGCGGGGCTCCCCCGCCCCAGGAGAAACCTGCGGGCGGGCAGCCCAGTTCTGAACTCGCTGTCCCCTCTTGGCCCGACAGGGCCCATCCCGGGACAGCCCTACAACCCGTCTGCACGTTTGACGGCACTCCTGTGACCATGGCGTCCGTCGGTCTCGGTGAAGGCCTTCCTCTTAAGAACTGCTAAACGGCATTCGCTGAATTAATGAATTGATGGGGGGGGGGTGGACGGGGGTGGGATGCAGTCTCACATCCCGATGGGTCCTGAGGGGCGGTTGTGTGAGTGCGGGGTGAATTTAAGAGAACAAGGCAAGGCATGCAAGGGCTCACCTCTACCATGGCGACCAGATCCAGAAGAAGGCACTAATGCATTCTCCCGTTTTATATAATCTTGGGCGGACATATGAGCCACGGTAAGCACAGATGCACGGAACAGGAGGGGATGGGTGAGGGTGTACATGCGATGGAAGGGGAGGCGCTAGAGGCATCCAGGTGACAGGAGGGTACGTACATAACAAGACGCCCGGGTTCTAGAGTCAAGATGGCAGCCTCACCTTGGTTGACTCTGGCAGGCTTGACCTTCGGTGCCCCTGAGCTCTTCTCCAGGGGAACAGTCTATAATCCTTACCAGAAAGGAGTGGGCCCTACTTAGGGTGGGACAGACAATAGGGTCTGATTGCTCTTGATGGCAGACCGCCTTCAGGCAAGTAGCCTTCAAGCAGTGACCTTCCAGCGTCTGGAGTAGCAACCATGTGCTTGCAAGCACCTTAAGATTGGCATTATTGGGGGGGGGGGGGGGTTTGACATCGTGAGGAATAACTTTTAAGAGAATGTGACTGGAACATATCTCCAACCCACAAACACGAAGGTCTCCCCACATGGGAGCCCCAGTCTCCCAAATTCCTTATATAGAGAATTTGTCCGTATATACTCTCTTCCTGGTTCTGCTTCCCATAATGGGTAGATGGGTAACAAGCACTGTGGATGGGTGGGTGGATGGATGGATGAATGGATAAATGAGTGGATGGGTGGGTGGGTGTTGGCCCTGCATCTCATCTCTGCGAATCCATCTGTGGCTGGCCTATCCCGGCTTCTCTGCACATGGACATCTGCCTCTCCTCTCCAGCTCCCCACCTGCCAACCCCCCACCTAACCCCAACATAGACCTGCCTTACCAGCTTCCGGGAAGACAGGACACCTTTTGGCTGGGGGCACCTGCTGGTCACTCCCTGGTCCTGGGTGGGCTGCCCCTCCTCGTTGCCCTCTGGGCTGGGCAGGTGGGACAGGGTGCTCCGGAACAAGAGTTTCCCAATTCTCGCATAGAGGACCGCAGCCACCAGCAGGGGTGTGACAAAGAAGACGGCGAAGTCCAACAGGTAGATGGGCAGGTAAAGGCTGCGCGACACCTTGTATCCACACTCCAGGGTCCGGCTTTCACCCATGTGGACGTCCACCAGGAAGGGCCAGAGCAGGCAGTAGATGGCCGTGAGGCCCCAGACACCCGCCACGATGCGTTTGGCCCGGGCAACAGTGCACATGGCCTGCGCCCGCATCGGGTGGCAGATGGCGATGTACCTGCAGGCCACAGCACAGCCATGTTGGCCCCCTGGCTGAGAGATCATGTGACCCACATGGTTCGCATCTAATTGGACAGCAGGAGGAGCACCTGACCAGGCTAAGCCAATCCGATTCTCTTAACCATCAGCATGGGGCCTAACATTGTTCGACCCACTCATGGGAGCAAAATTTGAAGGGCAGGAGGCTGTGGCTGTACATCATACAATGCCTTTTTTATCTGGTGGTTTGTTTTTTACATAATTGACCTTGTTGCTGAGAACATACACAGCAGATCATGCACCAATGAAGCTGTTTCCACATGAGACATTGGTGACGTTTTCTGAGGCTTGCAATCACGTCTCCTCCTTAGATCTGAGCTGTTCCTCCCCCATAAGCTAAACTCCTGCCCACTAAGGAGGAGGCCTGGTGGCACACTGAGCTACTAACCACAAGGTCAGGGGGTTGAATCTACCAGCCGCTCCTCAGGAGAAAGATGAAGCTCTCTACTCCTGTAAAGATATAAAGTCTTGGAAACCCACAGGGACAGCCCTACCCTGTCCTAGAGGGTCCCTATGAGTTGGGATCAACTCCAGAGCAGTGGCTTAGTTAAAAGTCACAAGCCAAGCTCACTGCCATCAACAGTCTGACTCAAAGGTTGGAGGCACCAACTGCAAAGCCAGCAGTTCGGAACCACCTGCTGCTCTGCTGGACAAAGACAGGACTTTCTGCTCCTGTAAAGAGGGACAGTCTCAGAAGCCCACAGGGGCAGCTTCACCCTGTCCAGTCGGGGCCCTGAGTCTGCATCCACTCCAGTGGCAGGGAATTTGGTATTTTATTTTGTTTTATTTGTGGTTTTCTGCTGTGTGGTCTGGGGGAAGACTCTTAGTCTCGGGGAAAGGGGGGTGCTTCTTGCCCAAGCCCCACAGCTGGTAAACGACCTTAGGTCCATGGGCCCCGCCCTCCAGTCTCCTTCCTCTCTGGCTTTAAAACCCAAGCTTGTGTTCTCTACGACTTCTCATCTCCATGGATCGAACTGACAGCTGCAACCCAGGAGCGTAGATGGGGGCTCTGGGGGCAGAGGGTTGATTGTCTGGGGGAGGAATGACTCAGGGAGGGAGAGCACCTGCGGGCCTGTACACACACACACACACACACACACGGCCACGTTGGCATGTGCTCTGCCATGCTGTGTAAGTTTTCAACAACAAAACAAAGTTTAAATTTTTTTTAAAAATCACCTCACTGCGAGAGACCCCAGAAGAAGCCAATTTCCCAGGTGGGACGTGGAGGCACACGGGGGCTTACCACCTCCCATCCCAGCTGCCACAGAGCCCAGACGAAAGCCCCACTTCTGAATGCTTGCCCTAGTCTGGGCTCCCCAGGGTTTCCCCAACTCAGGACCTGGGGCCCAGCTTCCTGGCCCACCCAGGACCCTGGCTGGGAAGTTCCAGCCGCCCTACCTCTCCACGGTAAAGGCCAGGATGGAGCAGGAGGAAACGTTGATGCCCAGGTACTGCAGGTAGGTGATGCCCAGGCAGCCGGCACGGCCGTACACCCACCGGCCCGCCAGACTGTAAGACACATTGGGCAGCCCCGCGGCCACCAGCACCACGAGGTCAGCCAGGGCCAGGCTGACCAGGTAGCAGTTGGTGGGTGTGCGCATGTCCCGCGCGGTCATCACCACCAGGACCACCATGGTGTTGCCCACAATGCCCACCACACACACCAGCAGCACCAGGAAGATGGAGACGGTTGTGTATGCCGAGGCCAGGGCCACACTGCCGGCCATCCACGAGATGTGGCTGGGCCTGCTGGGCTGCAGCCCTTTGCCGTGCCTGTGGGGCAGAAAGGAGGAAGTGGGGTGTCCAGGCACGCCAGTCAGGCCCCAGGACAGACCGGTGGGCACTGCCTGCTGGCCAGCCTAGGTGCAGCAAGGAAGGGCCTTCTTGTGAATATCACTGATGTCACTTCTAGCACCTCTGGGATCCATCTCCTCACCTATAAATACCACAGTAACACAACCATGCCCACCGGAGCTTTTAGCCCAGGAGATGAGGGGAATAGAGCTTCCACCAAGGCCTACACACACTCACACACACACACACACACACACTGTTGTTAAAAGTCACACCGCGACCCCATCTCTGCTCGGGACAGTGCCTCAAAGACACCTGAGGGGCAGGTATGGGGGTGTGTGGCCCAGCAGCTCTGTGTGAGCCCAGGGTCACCATGGCCAACCTACGGAGACGTCCAACAAGGGGGGGCTATGTCCACAGGGCCTGGGGCTTGGTCAGAGGGGATGCTCAGGGATTCCCCCCAATATCACACAATGCACACTGCACCTTTCACATATATACTGCACACACTACACCATATCCACTACACACCATACCACACGTCTCACACACACGCACCACACACTAAAGACACGTACAAGCACATCTCCCACCTATACACAAAGCACAAATCACATCATATCACACACAGCACATGTACGCAGGACCCATATCTTTTCCAGCCTGGTCCCGAGACAGCCACACACAGCACCCATGCACTCAAGTACCAGGACCAGGGGTGCCCTAACACACGCAGACACCAGGGACACACACACACAGACTCACATAAACTCGCCCCTACACCCAATGTCCCCAAACTCGTGACTTCACACACACACACACACACATAGCAGAGCTGTACACACATATCCTCTGCAGAGACCCAGACACACAGGTGCACACCCCACCCATGTGCACTGCCCCACCCCAGCCCCTCACTCTCCTGGGAAGGACCCAGAATGGACAAGCTGGGTCCCTGCACAGCCATGTCCCCCATCGCAGCCCCTCCTGACCTTTAGCTTGGGCTATAGAGCATCTCCAGATGAGAAGACACCCTTACCCCTTGCTGGTCCCCCCAAAACACTTCCAGCTCAGGAAACTTACCCTCAGAATCCCTGAGCCCTTTTGTCCTCCTCCCAGACAGAAGAGATGAGGGACAGAGGGAAGGGGAGAAGGACAGGGAGACAGAGCAAGAGTGAGAAGGGACAGAGCTGAGAGAGACAGGGAGGCCAAGGGCGAGAGAGGAAATGGTCCTTGGACTTCAGTCACGGCACAGCTGAAGGCTTCCCGTTCTCCCAGCAGGCGGCAGTGCCATAAATGTGTGTGTGTGTGTGTGTGTGTGCGCGCCCACGCCCACCCCTACAAGTGCACGAGCATTAGCTCAGCTCTGAGCCCAGCCAACTTCTCAGCTCCACACGCCTGGCCCCTCCCCCTGCTGGAGAAATAAATGGGTCCCCATTTGGGAACAAACTGGGGGAGGGGGGACCTGTCAGCCTGCACAGCAGCCCTGCCAGGGGAAGTGGAGTAGGGAGAGGTGACAGAGGCCCCAAGAGTTGACCCCGACTACAGTGAGTGAAGAGCCTGGTTCGGGCCTGGGGTGGGGGCTTGCGTCAAGGAAGGAGGGCAGGCAGGGCCGCTCTCCCACAGGGCCGCTGGGACCAGGCCTGTGTCGCATCATTGGGGGGCGGGGGGGGGGGGGGGGGGGGGGTGTTGTAGGAGCCCATCCTGCAGAGATGGAGGCTGAGGCTTGGCAGGGATGCAGAGTGACCCGTTCAAGTGTGTGAAGGCACCAGGGTGGCGCCCAGCCTGGGGCTCAAGGGCTGTGCTGCTGCCGACCCTTGTGAGACCTAGGCTGGGCCACCAGTCGCGTCCAGGACTGTGGCTGGACACACAACCCTACTAACAGCGGAGTGGGGGTGGGTGCCCAGGATTCGGTCTTCAGGGAGCAGCTCACAGGGTGTTCTCCTTAGGGGGCGGGGGCGGAGGGAACATGAAACCCATGCCGACCCACAGTCATCCCATAGGAGAGAGACACCCCCCCCCCATTGTCCTGTAGAGCCACCAGTCTCTGGTTGTGAGTCAGGCAGGGGCCCAGGGTGACAGAGGTGAGCAGAGGAGCAGGCAGTGGGGGTGGGGTGGGGAGCAAGGGAGGCCCCTTTCCACAGCTCCAGCTCCTCAGACCCCTACCCTGCCCACCTGGGCCCATGGCTGTGTGCTCAGGGGGAGATGGGAGAGTTCATGGGCCATCCTGGTTCTCAGATCCGTGTGTCATGTGGACTCAGGCTCTGCAGAGATAGTCCCCTGGCATCTGTCCCCTCCCTCATTCCCCCCACTCGAGTGGGTTCTGCTGAGAGAGTCTGTGAACAGCGCCCTGGCTGCTGTCCTCCGTGATGGTGCTGAAAACCTTCATGACCCCCCTGCAGCCAGCTTCAAGAGGAAGCCCTAGGCATGGGAAAAACGGGTGAACCTGGAAGTGGGGGGCTGCAGGGCCATCCATCCAGAGCTCTGGGGTCCATCGAGGGGAGGCAGTGGTGGCTGAAATTCGCAGAGCACTTTCTATGTCTTGAGCACACCCACCGCCCCCCTCACCCCCTCCACTCCCCCCACCCCCGCTCCTACCACCACCACTGTGGAAGGCCATGCTTTGATCAGAGACGGGGCGCCTCCACAGAAGGTCAGTGGGATGGTGCCCCTGCTGATGAGACAGGGACACATCTCATCAAAGCCGCTGCCATTCAATAGAGGCTGGCTCCCTGCGGCCACTGGCCATGAGGGACAGCAGAAGCACTCTGCAGCTCTCCAAGACCAATCTTTATGGACGCTGACCGGACAGCATTCTCGCACAGTCAAGGGCTCGGCACTGTGGTATAGCCTGAACCTGAGCCCCAAGTCCGTCCTTCCCCGAAGTCGGGACGGCCTCTCCTGCCTCCCCTCTGTCCGCACGGGACCCTCTGCCCCATGCGCCCCCCGCCAGGGAGAGAGCGCGGGGCTGGCTCACCCTCTGCTGGCCGCTCGGGGAAGAGCAAGCACGTTCCAGGACGAGCCGCTCGTCCTGGGTGAGGAGGTGCCTGTGCCTTCCTCCCACGCAGTGTTGAGCCTGAGTCGCTTGTATTGAACAAACTCCCCCTGCTCCCCGAAGACAGCCTTCAAAGCTGGGCAAACACATGCAAACACCCAAGCCTCGGGCATCCATCGCCCTGCAGGACCTGGGGGAGGTGAGGGGCAGATTTGCAAATGGCGCCTTTGCAGATGGAATTGCTAAAGGGGGCATGAGGTTCTACAGGAGAGGGGCAGGCTTGTGATTTAATTTAAGGGCCCATCCCAGGAGCAGAGAGGCACACGAAGAACAGTGGGCGGACAGAGCAGAAGGGAATAATGGGGTCACAAGCCAAGGAAAGCCAGAGCTGCCAGAGCAGGGGGCCCTCCCCCAGGGTCTCTGCAGGGCCACAGCCCCTCTTAACACCAGCAGAGTGTGAGAGCGGTGATCTCACGGCCCGCCCACACCCTGCACTTTGCAGTTCTTTGCAGAGCACAGCACTGCCCCGTGGGCTGTGGTCAGGCTGGAAGCCCAGCGTCATGCCCTGAGTGACATCAACAATAGCCTGAACCTCAGTGGATGCTAATGAGTGGGCACTGCCAGGGTTTCCCCCCACCCCTTTTCAGAAGATATTGTTAGAAAATTATATCACATGTCACAACCCACATCAGAGAAAATACAACCGTTTCCCAGCCATGCACCAGGGCTCACAAGACCTGCACTGTGCCAGATGCATGCGGGTCATGTCTGTCCCTATGGCACCCTGTGGGGGAGAGGACTCCATCTGTCTGTGGCACAGAGCAGGGTGGGGCACCTACCACCCTCGGGCACGAGGATGGGGGCTTTCTGTGCCGTGGGTGGGAATGGGCTGGTCTAGGAGTGTCATGGTGGCCACGCAGTGTAGACCTTTATCGGGGACTCACTGAGCTGTCGAACACCTGGGACCTGAGTTCGACCACATGTAGAGTAGGGGCTTCCAAAAGTTTCTGAGAGAAAGGCATTAAAAGGTATGTGATTTTCCACAAACAGAAGCATCCACAATTCTTCAATAGAGCTTTTAAAAAAACCCGCCCCTCTTCGCCCCCATTTCCCACTCCTGAAATGCAGCTGTTTGCAAATCTTCGATGGTGCCCTCTGACTCCTCCCTCATTCCTTGAACCATAGTCACACTGCTGTTTGGGGTTTTTTAAATGGTGCCAAACTATAAGAGGAGGATTCTGCTCCTCTCACACCCAGACCATCCAAAATTCGTATCCTTAAGTTATAACAGGATTGTATTAAATATTCAAAAGCACACCAAAAAAGATGTCACGATTAACAATAACCAGGTTAAAAGCAGGACAGTCCCAGACTCCACCATCCTCCCCCCTCTCCAAATGCCCTCATGTCCCTTTATAAAGGAGCTCAGCCTCATAGTGGCTCCTCATTGGGCTGCTAACCACAAGGTCAGCAGTTAGAAACCACCAGCTGTTTCTTAAGAGAAAGACGGGGCTTTTTACTCCTGTAAAGAGTTTTGGTCTCAGAAACCCACAAGGTAGTTAGTTGTACCCTGTCCTATATCGTTCCTATGAGTTGGCATTGACTCGATGGCAGAGAGTTTGGGGAGGGGGTGTAAGATGTCAGGCTGCTGACCACAGGCTGGTGATTCTAGCTCAACGGCCGGGCGTCCCTGGGGAGAAAGCTGACGCTCACTCGCTGCTCCTGTAAAGATTTACATTCTCAGAGGCTTGCTAAAAGTCAGAATCTACTTGATGGCAGTGGGTTTGGGGGGTTATCAATGCTTCATTCCTTTTCATGGGTAATTCATGGCCCATTAAGGGTGAACGAAGAGGTGTTCTACCCCCATAAAGAGTTACAGTTCTACCCTGTAGGGTTGCTCTGGGTCAGAATCCACTCGATGGCAGTCGGTTTGGTTTAATAGCCCAGCATATGCATCTACCGCACTGCCGCATGTGTCCCTTCCTCCGTTGATGGACACGCGGGCTGTTCCCACTTCGTGACCACGGTGAGTGGAGCTGATACGGGCATTCCTGCACACGTCTGTGGGGGGATGTATGCCTGTGGGTCTCTCAGAGAGCGAGGAGGGGCTCGGCGGCAGTGTATTCACTGCCCTCACTTCCTCACGCGGACATTAATTCTGAGAACAGGAGGCAAACATCTGAGTGCACACTGAACGTCAGGCAATTGTATCTGTGGAATGAATGGGGGTAGGCTCCTGCGCACCCCAATTAGGAGTCCATCCATTGTGGGGTGAGAAGTGGCCTGCTCCCCATCACACTCCAAAACCCTTCCTCAGCCCCTAGAACTAGCTACATAGTTCCCAAGACCTGGTGTCGCAACTAAACTGCACAGCTCCTGGCTCACAATGACTAAGACGGCAGCAGCAGCAGGGCACCTAACAAAGGGGTCCCTTCCAGGCTCAAGGCCCTGGCTAGCCCAGACAATCACCCTCAGAGCCAGCGGAGAGGATTCCCAAGCTTCCTTAGTCTCCCTTCCTGATACCATCCCCATCCCTGTCCCGCTCCGTGCTGAACTCCAGCCAAGCTTTACCTTTAATCCAGGTTGTTCCTTCCTGATCAAATCAGTCACCCTCTCCATCGCATCAAGATTTAGCTGAAGCACACACATTTTACGATAGCTTGCCACCCTGTTTGAGCACGGACTGTGTGCTAAGGGTTTCTCTCACAAGTGGGGCCCCCAGGCTAGCTCCAGAAGCAACAGGGAGGGGAGAGTGCCCCAGAGACACCACTATGCCTCCAACCTTTGGTTTTTCCAACCACCTGCATAAATGAGCCCTGGTGGTGGAGTGGGTTAAGAAGCAGGCTGCCGACTACAAGATCAAACATTCCAATCTACCAGTAGCTTGGCTGGGAGAAAGATGAGTATTTCCATTGGACCCTAAAGGGAACTACTTTCTCCTGTCCTGTAGTTCAGTGGTTCTCAACCTTCCTAATGCCATGGCCCTTTAATACAATTCCTCATGTTGTATGACCCCCAACCATAAAATTATTCTTGTTGCTACTTCATAGCTGTAATTTTGCTACTGTTATGAATCATAATGATATGCATGATGTATTTTCATTGTTACAAGTTGAACATAATTAAAGCATAGTGATTAATCACAAAACAATACACAAGTATATATTGTGAAATATTTATGTGTTTTCCTATGGTCTTAGGCGACCCCTGTGAAAGGGACGTTCGACTGCCAAAGGGGTTGTGACCCACAGGTTGAGAACCGCTGCTGTAGTTGCTTTGA